TTTGACGACATAATCATCAATAACATTCCGGTACTTCTGTTTCAGTTGTTCATCATACTTTAATCGCCTTTGAAGTTGTTGGAGTCTCTTCTCAGCCAATAATTTGTTGTCTGGTAAACACGGTGGACTATAACGCCACGGTAGAGATATCTGATAGTGACCATCGACTTGTTGTGCAGATTTTTCCATAATAGTAAGAGCTCGACGGTCTTCGATCGACGTAGGTTTATCTCCACTCAAGGGTAAATCATTGAACTCACTGTTATATAATCGTTCTAACTGATGTGTTATTTCTTCACCATGATCGATCTGTACGAAATTAACATTTCCTTCCGTACTAGTTCCACTTCCTACAGGACCAAACAGCGTCCAGCCAAGTATGGTACGGACTCCCAATGGTTTCTTTAGGTCCTCCCCGTCTTTCCTCCAATGTCCAATGAACTTCCGGAACGTCACTTCCAATCAAGATACTGACTTCTTTGTCATCGAGCTCGGGGAAGTCGATACCATTCAAATGAGACCAATGGCCAATATCGTCCACCTCAGGGATACTTCTTTCTGAAATAGGTAGACGATCAACACTCCATACACGATCTAATTGTAGTTCGCCTTCGCCTTTCAAAGCTTGCACCTTCAGCTCAACTTCTAGACCACATCTCTTCTTGTCCTGAGCATTGACCGTTGTTAGGGAAAATTCAGTTGGTTTATGTTTCAGGTGAAGCTTTTCTGCAAAGTGTCGTATCTGATCCGTTATCAATAAAGGCATACGTATCCACTTGACGAGTGCCGTCGTTGTTGGTGATTCTTCTGACTGGAAGTATTCTTAAACATACCCTTGGTTTCTTCTTCGCTGCCGCTCCACAATGTCCAGAATTTCCGGCCTCGTTACTACGATGAGGGGATTCTTCCTGCTCTTTTTCAGAGCTGGGTGAACTCTCTGGTGGATTAACTGGTAAATGAAGAAGGGAATGGTGTCGAACATTACAGCCACTCAGCATACATGCCGGACCCAATCTCTTGCAAAATGATTGCAAAATGATTCTTGCAAAATCATTCTTTCTTAAACAATTGTGACACAATTTTTCTGTCCGAGTAAATTCTAATCGTTCTTGGTAAGACTTCTGCCTAAACTTGTAGCATTTTTCCAAGTCGTGATTCGATGCTCCACACAGTAAACACTGCCTACTTCTTTGCTGCGATTTATGATCATTCAAACTATCACCACTATCACCACCAGTCTGTGTTTCAGCATGCTGTGTTCCAAATGTTGATATTCTGCCGGGATCAAGAACAGGTTCCCTTACTTTGGGTTTTGGTTTGATATCTCCTTCTGGCTTCGATCCGACCAGTTTACCAAATGTGGTATTGGCTATCGCAGCATACTTTTCCACAAAGTCAACTAAATGTTCAAATTCGGGCTGTTTTTCTTCTTGGATTAATTTACCCGAGACATCTGCCCACTTCGCCTGCAAATATGATGGAAGTCTCTTCACCACCTTCGTCAACATATCCAACGAATTAATGTCCGCCTTGTAGTTCATTTGCATTGAATTCATCAAACAGTTGCGCATATCACGGGCTAATTGCATCATCTTTTCGGTTTCACCGGATTTAATCTGCGGTCCTTTTACAACTTTTTCAACAAACGCTCGTACGATGTTATGTTTTTGACCAAAGGTCTTACGTAAAATTTCTTTGGCTTTCTCGTAGCCAACGTCTGCCGGGTAGATCACGCAGTTCTCAATAGCTTGTCTAGCTGCCCCGCTGGTATATTGAATAAGATAGGAAAGTCTAACTGTTTCGTCAGGTACCCGACTTTCTACATTCACTTCAAAGTTTTCATAAATCGCAAATACGTTGTTGGGTTGCCATCAAAGCACAAAAATTCACGCTTCGGCAGGTCAAGACTAGATGTCAGCTTTTCTACCGTAGTATTCTGACCTTCGATAACTTGACTCTGTCTTTCGAGTAAACGCTGAATTTCAGGATGAATACCTCCGTCATTCCTCGCTGAAGTTATCGGCGGAGGATTTGATCGACTCGGTGTTGGGAATTCTTCCACCTGCTTCTCTGTCCAACTGGATCCCAAAAACTTCTCCATGGTCTGTTGTAAAGTCTGTCTTTCTTGATCTGGAAGTCGCTCATCTGCGTCACGTCCAAAATCACCATCATCAACGGAGTATTGTGATTCAATTGCACACTTTTCAACTTCTGCTCGTGCGTCGATAATTTCACCTTTTAATTCCAATTTTGCCATTTCTGTTTTTAATTTTCGTTCGTATATTTCAGCTTCTAGTTTCTGTTGTCTTTCAAGGAGCTCTTCCTTTTCTTCAAGCTGTTTTAACTTCAACCCGAGACATCGCCAGCTTTTGACTTTGTTTACTTCTCTCACTACTCTGACTAGACTTCTTCGACTCGTTTTCGAACCATCGTCTTCCCTCGCTCTTACTTCTTGGGCTCTGAGTTGAATAGTTTGACAAATATTTTTGCTTCCCCAGGCTTGGTACTCGCAACGCACTGTTTTTATATAAACTATCCCGTTCTCTGGTTGTTTTCGCGGTTTCATTGTCTGCCATTCGGTCACTTCTAGTTAAAGAATTCAATGAATCGCCCCCGTCCTTTGTCTGCAGTTCCGCTTCATGAGCTTCATCACCAGATATTGTTTGCATTTCAAATTTGTTCGGTGAAATTTGCATACCCGTTTCACTTGATCGGTTTTCTCTTCGAGTGAACTTTCGCAGCCAGTCTGAGTATCTAATCTTAAATTCTTGATAACGCCTGATTTCAGTGTCCAACTGACTTGCCATGGCTTCTTTTTCTTCGTCTTTAATAAGGAATCAGCCACAATTGTCACTTGCTTCTTCAAAGTTTGCAAAACCTTTATCTAAATCCTCACGTTTCTTTATTACTTCCTTGTAATTGTCATAGTTCTGCATGAGCTCATCCGTCTCTCTATACAGACAAGTTAAATAACCCCTATAGCTCGCAATAGACCTACGAAGTTTGTTCAATCTCTTGTTGTATACTCCTTCTTGATCTAGTGTTGTATTGGTTACTCGTTGAGTAGCTCCGCGCGTCTCCATACTGTAACTAACCGAGCTTTTTGCCAAAGTGCATCGAATATAGCCAGTTAATTCAACCGAGAATAGATAAAGAACTATATAGCCTTAAACTGCGATCTCACTTTGATTTTGTTATCCATAATAAAGTACTCGGGTTGAAGTGTTAAGATTTATATTTCCTTTTTAAAGAACCACGGTTCTTTATCGTGGTTATACTCGGAATTTACAAACATACTAACTAACCTATGCTTAACACCAGCTTTTATACTAAAACTAAAATAATTAATTAAACATGCATGCATGCACTAATTGATTGGCTATTACAATGATTGTATCTTGGCCACAAGGAGACTTCCAGAAAGGGATGGATACCCTTCATTCCCAAATTTTCCTTCAAGCTCACTAAAGAATCTCGACTATAAAGATCTCCATTCCTGGATGACCAATTTAATACAGAGATGGGCAATTTTCATTGAATAAAACAATAGATATTCATGACATCAACAACCTTTCTGGTATTGTCATTGCTTTTAAGTGAACAGGGACCGCAGAGTTATTTTTTGATTGGGGGGGGGCTAGCGAACGCCGAAGGTGTGAGCCTCGTTGGGTGGTCCGGGGGCATGCTCCCCCAGGAAATTTTGAAATCTGGGGCCTCTCAGAGCCCCAGAAATGCAATAAAAACCTGCTAGTTTCTCTTAAAAAGTTTCTTGAACGACTCTTAAGCAAGCCATTTTATAAGGGTAAAATTTATTCGCTTAGTACATTTTCCTTGAATAGATTTTTTTCTTCGAACTTTAACGCCTTATTTAAGCATAATTTAAATTGCATTTTCCATACTTATCGTCTCTACCTTTCTTAGAAATTTTTTTTTTTCTGGAAAGTGTTCAATAATAAAGGAATACCGAATGGTTTTCCATGCAGGATTGGGTGATTCATGCACGAGGGATGTCGCGAGAGTTTTGGAAAGCGTAAAAATACTCGACTGCCACAGGCGAGTGTATTTTTATACTTTCCGAATGTCCGGCAAGCAACATCCTAAGTGCATGGATCACGTGCGCTATCCTGCTTGGAATGAACCATTCGGTAATTGCTTTATAAAATAACTGCACTTACTGCAGTAAAACTATGACATTTTGAAAATCCCGCAAAGGCATTTTAATTCCTAGTGCAGGATAGCCCGATCCTGCAAATTGACCAATCAAATTTGACCAATCAAATTGCTGCAAATTGACCAATCAAATTTGACCAATCAAATTGTGTGTAAATCAGGGACGCCGGAACGGGGGGGCTGCCCCCCTTGCCTTTTGCTAGGGGTGGCAGAAGTGCCCTTTAGTTGTAAAATACTATGTGATATATCACATTTCCAGTGATGCTTTTTCTGGGAAAATCATGAGATTCAGGTAATTTATAGGCCCAGATAAACTAAATTAACTAAAATAATTATGAATTTGGCAAAGGATGAGTTAAATTTACCAAAATTTTAGAGAATTTTTTGAATTTAGAAAACTTTTTTAACTTAACAGAAAATTTTGGTATGTCCGGAAAAAATTTTAGACCCCTAAAATGGTACACTGACCGAAAATTTTTTGGCGACGGGGGGGGTTGGCAGGTCGCCCAAAAAATTTCCATGAAAAAAAAATTTTCCGGTGGATTTTGAAGTTTTCCTCTACAGAGGTGCCCTTCGTGTGTGTCTGCCCCCCTTTGCCTTATTATTGTTCCGGCGTCCCTGTGCGTGTTGCACTGTAGTTATTATATAACCTGCATTCTTTTCGTGAGAATTTTGTTGGGAGATAATTTAGGTTCCAAGAATAATCAATCACAAGCAAACAGTAAGTTCGAACGACGCTTAGCAGTTTTAACGCCAACATTTTGTTTGGAACCGAAGCACACATATTCACTGTGTCTGAAGTGATATGGAGTTTAAACCGTTATTTGAAACCGGGTGTGACACCTTGGATAATGTTAGCTAGACTCCGAATTTTAAATAAAGTGGTCAAATGCGACTAACAACTCTTGACATTATTGCACAGCGTCATGAAGGTTGAGACCTGTTGTTTGTAAAAGCTATATGTTTCGCTGGTAGGAAATGGAATTGGAATTCTGAAACACGCAAATCAGACATTTGATATATTTCTGGACTACGCAAAGAAAAGTGCTATCTGCGCTATATTAAAATCAGATATGTATGAAAAATTATTGGACCTGCTCCGCGGTCCCTGGTGAACCATTGAGTGCTAGCACTCCTCCATTAACAAGTGAAATTGTCTGGCATATTATACAAAGTGAAATTACTATAATAAAGTAGGGCACCAGAGCAGATCATGCCACTCAAGTGGAGTGCATTGCCACTCAAATGGAGGACATTGCCACTAAATGGTTATTAAATTAACTCATTAAATTGCATTGTGCCCTAATGATAAATTTACTAATTGAGGAGGGAGTGCTGGCGTCAGCTCAATGTGTTAAAAATTAATGTTATATCTAGACAATTTTACTCATCAAGCAGTCAAAATGAAAGTTTTTGTTGACCTGTGCAATGCGCATGTCCCCTGCTGTTTTCTTAGCTCTCTAGATACATGTACGATTTAGTTTATAGACAGTACCAGATTCCACTTTTTATATAATATACTTGTTCATAACTTTCAGGATCTTGTTACTTGCTTATCCTGTCTCCCACTGTCTCTTCAATTTCTGTCTGCTTGGCTTATACTGTATGGTGTCGTCAGTTTCTTAATTTTTGCATGCAATTAACATATATAGCTATGTATAGAATATAGCTACACAAAATGTTGTTCCAATATGGTTAATATAGTCTGTCATCAAGGTTATATTCATCAGGCTCATATTCATCAGACTCGGATTTATTTGAAATGTAGTCCAAAGGCATATCACATAGTTCATGAAAATCTTCATGGTAACTGCTGTCCAAGTGCTCATTAAGTGCTAACGAGGTAAGTGATATAGTGGGTATGTCTCCAAAAATTTCATCCAAGATCTCCAGAATTTTCACAGAGTGCTTTAATGAAAACACTGGTAACAATACATTAATGTCCTCAAGTGTAAACAATCAGCATTATCAGTAATGCTTAAAATAAGATCCCTGGAAAAACCATGGGATGTTGCTTCTCAAAAAACACTACATGCAACAGGCATTGAAGCACTAAGTTCAACAAATGGTGATTCAATGTCATTTTTGTCAAACTCAGTCACTACTCTTGTCTTTGTTGGTAATGTAACACATTCACCCAATTGTTCTTCAAAAGGTAATACCAAATTGCAATTATCTGAACCACACTCACACAACTTGAAGCAATTAGAGCAACAATTATGATGAGGATTCAATGGTGCAATGCTATCATCAAAAGGTTTGTAACAAGCTACTCTATAACAGCCATCAGAATTGACAAAATCTTTTACATCATTCTCACACTGTGAAAGTTGATGCCCATGATAAATAACAATGACGTGAGACAAGTTACCATCTCTACCTGCTCTGCCTGCTTCTTGGTGAAAGTCAAGAATGGTTCTGGTAGGTCCCCAGTTTATAGTATATCTGATGTCTGGAAAATTGAAGCCCATGCTTAATGCAGTGCTAGCAATGATTATTCTTTTATTTCCATTTTCTCGCAATGATTTTGCAATCCTTTCCTTACTTTCAGGCCATGATGTGGAGTGAAAAATCCCAATAATCATATCTTTTTTGTCTCTGGATGAACTTTGGAAAAAAGCATGTTTCCCCAACTTAACTAGTTACAGATTGTCAACAACAATGACAATTTCATTCAATGTATTACAGTATATTAATGTTTTTGGAATCCCAATGCCATATATTCTTTAGTCATATTAGCCAGCCAATCTAAATGGAGGTGCATATGCCCTCTTTACTAAATTTAGTTATGGAAAATCTAAGGTTCTTCCGATTTGGGCTCATAAAAATTGTAGTTGGCTGCATCACCAACAATGCTTCACATAATTATAACTTTCTGAGTCTCCTTATCAGCAGTTGCCTAAGAGCAAGAACAGGTACACCTAAGAAAATAGCATACAAATAAGTTATGAACACATTATTATTAAGCACTATGTACATCAAATTAAATGTTTTTAGCAAATCTTTATTAATAATTGTGAAAGCTTCATAAGTGGGAGCAGTCCTTTTAGTATATTTATAATTATTTGCACTTTCAAGTATGCTTCGAGTATGCTTCCAATTTATACCTTCTTTACACAAAGATCTTAATATGGACAGCTTGCCATAACAAACACAAAAGGCATTGTTGTCACTTCTTTTCCCTTGGGGTCTTATTTCTTATTATCCTACACAAAAAGTATACACTTCAATAATAAATCATTTATGTTTCAATATGTTAATAAGACACTTAATCAGTAGACAATACAGGGGACTCAGGGGAGTGGGAATTTATTACTTCATTAATTTCGGCCGAAAACCTAATAATGGGAGTTGAATAACTATATATTAAGTAACAAAGCTGCAACAATAATTTTAAAAGCATAATTGTATTGGTAGGATACCAAGATTTAGGATTTAAGATTTAAAAAAAAAAATTATATACTAATATTAAAAGTATTTAAGATAACAAGATACAAACTCGCCTTTTTCTGGTCCAGGTTTCTAATGTATGACACTCCTCAAGGGTCATACTAATTACCGTCAAAAACCGCCAAAAGCCGTAAAAAACCGTCAAAAGCCGTAAAAAAACGTCAAAAGGCTGTCGAGAACCGTCAAAAAGCCGTCCATAGACAATGAAGATACAAGCATTGAAAAATCAATAACAAGCGTCAAATATCCCTAAAATCTTAACTTAATTAGTAATATAATGCTAGCCTTTGTGGTCATGATTTGTTTCATATCTTTTTATTGTGTTTTAAAAATTGAAACAATTAAATCAAGGTTGCATGTTGTACTATACTGCTGTATATACATATGTGGTTATACGTATATTAACCTCGCTATTAACTATATAGTTTTAGTGGTGTTTGTTGGGTTATTTGTCATAACTATATTATTTCGTATGAAGATTAGTCAAACTACAGGGGCCGGTTGTATAAAACTCTTAATCACTTTTTTAATCACTATTTTGTAGTTAAGTAGTGATTAACTCTCAAACATGCACTTCTTATTGGATGACATTTCCACTAACTATAGTTAACTTTAATCACTTTTTTATACAACCGGCCCCTGGACAGAAAATTTCATCAATATATCAATGTTAACAATGGCCGTCACGTTAATCACTTTTTCACAAAACACACTTTTTAACCTCACTAAAGAAACATGTTCAACAACTGTTACAACAAACTTGTAATTTGTGAACGTTTGCCAAATTTCATTCCGTTACTGTGTTGATAATATACATGAAATTTCTCAATTCTGATTGGCTAAGCAGTGGAATATTTTCGAAATACAGTGCCAAAAAATGAAATACAGTGCAAATTTTTAAATTTTATTTTTCAATTTAGTCTTAATTTTCTTAATTTCTAAATGTGACTTACGCATGTGAATGCATAATTTTTTCAAGTATATTATTAATAAGTAAGAGTTTGGTTTCTTATGCAATTTGAAAAGATAGATATGCCATGCGCACATGTATCTGCGCAAAAGTGGAGTCACGTTTTGTACTTTCTTGCAAGAAACTGATAAGCCAAAATGGCAAATACAATACAGTAAAGCCCCACATAAAAGAACCAGTGAGTTAATAACTACCAGCCTGAAATTTGTAAGAGTTATAAACCGAGTAGGAGGTTTATAACTGATATCACACTTGCGGAGGTTTTCCAACATATTTTGTCATTTTCAAACATGTTTAATGAAAAATTCTCGCGTTTTGTCTACAAGTTTCATCTAATCATTTATTCAAGGTATATAAGCTAGTTATAAACCTCGGACAAACAAAGAAAACCGACGCAAGTGTGATATAAGGGCAATTTAAGCACTCAAAATACAAGTTTTTTTTTTAAATTTAGTTATATGTAACAAGAACCACATTAGTGTCTTAGCAACAACATGGACGGTTTTTGACAGGTTTTTGACAGGTTTTGGCGGCTTTTGACGGTAATTAGGAGGACTGCGCCTCAACAACAAGACAGGAAAACCGTTTGTGTATCTGTGATGTGTTGTCTTTTAACTCACGTTGAAAATCATCTCTTGTCACTTCTTCGGCAGAACTTAGAAGAATGTTAAATTCACATTTTTTCAGTTCCTCTGTGGAAAGATCTGAAAGGTTTGCAGTGACATATCCCAGGATTTTTAGCTGGTGTATTTGATCTTCAATAAGACCGACCAAAGGGCAAATTACCAATACCAACGTACAGTGATTTGCATCGGAATTCTTTAAACTAGTAAATGCCTGGTAAATTGGGCTTTTTCCAAATCCTGTTGGAAGGACTGCCAAAACATCTTTCCCTCTTATGAGTTCTGTAACAGCCAGCAACTGTTCGCTTTTAAGTTCGAATTGTAGTTCGCTTTTAACTCGCTCTTCTATATTATTCGACGCCATTTTGCGAAAATTTCATATATTAATTTATACAAGTATTTATTATGAGCTTGCATACATTATGATTTCAACCAATAGGATTTTTGAGTCCGCTCACGGCCCCGAAATACCAAATTTCCTTTAGATTGTTGCATGCTCTCTTTATTCCTTGAGCCTGCCATGCAGGCTACCCCCCCTTCTATGTAAGTGAACATTTTCATGCCCCCCCCCCTTCCATAATTAACAGGTTTCTAATGGTGTGAGTTTGCTAGCATTGTCATTGACAATTCAGATGTATTGGGTTTGTACTCCAAAAGTTCCATGGATACTGAATCCTACTTATCATCTGACATTGAATCAGACTGAAACATATATACTTTGTGTTGATTTAATAATAATTATAGTAAACAATTCTTTCCAAACTTAAATCTGTAAATCTGGGCACAAACACATTCAATATTCAACAATAATTATAAAATGTAATTTTTTCCGTACCAGTAACTATAATTTTGGTACCCCTCTAGAGGTTCCGTTGGGTTTTTTTCGTACCCCTGAGAGGTTTTTTCATACCCCCCAAAATATCCTCCACACCTCCTAGTAAATACCGGTCCCTATAAGGCCTGAATCAAACTTAGTGTATGTATACATCTTTGAGTTTTGAGCCTTCCAGTTCCTATAGTTGAGATAAGTTAATATGGGCTAACAATCTAGACACTGGCCTATCTGCCAGTGTCTCTTGTTCCATCTATTGTAGTATTTTACTCTGTCTAACCCCAGAGGGTAGCTCGTTAGTGAAAAAATTAGCTGTTAATCAATGGGTTGTGTGTAGTTGTTCCCAAAACTAATTTTGTGTTTTTTCCCCCCAAAAGACAGGAGATACAGCCTTGACTACCTGGTTACAAAAGAAGCCCGCTGACATACTATGACAAGTTACAGTATTTGCTTCCTGGCGTCTGCTCGACTTAGACTATCAATCCAGACTTGGCAGTCAGACATGGTAAAGGCTTTACAAGAAATTGAACAATATTGCTACGAGTGAGAACTTTTACATTTATCTATCAGTAATTACTTTAATAACCTATTCATGTATAGCTGGTAAATATATTATTTTAAACGTTCTTAATTGTTTTAGTATTGTTTTTATATTGTAGGATGCCAAGATTAGTATTCTTAGTTTCATCTTGCCATTGAAGAAAATATTCTTAAAGTTAAAAGCCACACCGGATCGAACTAGAATAATTTTCTTTCAATTCGAGATAATTTTTCTAATTTTGTCCTGTGGGTAAGTAAAATTTTCTTATTAAGATTATTTTTCTTATTTCAAGAATACGTTCTAGCAAAATTTTCTTATTACTAGAAAATAATTCTTGGGGAACTAAGAATTTTTTTTTAGAAATAAGAAAATTTTGCTAGAACGTTCTTGAAGTAATATATAATACCTCGGAGTCTGAAAAACTTTCTCCCCAAGTCATTTAATTAAACATTGCAAGCCAGATTTGTATTCCAGGCTATACAGCACTATATGATGCACAGTAAGGTCAAGCAATTAGCTTGAAGGAGGAATATGCAGCTGAGGATAAAGTGTTCATTGGAAGGGTGGAGTTATCTAGTTGGTTATGCCGCTGCGATAGGAAGGGAAAGGGTTATGCAGTTGGACATGAGTGGATTCGATATACAGGGTGTATCAAAATAAACGCAATTCATCTTTTGTGCTTAATAACTTTCGAAATACTATTTCTAGTTAAACGCTTTTAGGCTTACTTCAAAGCCTGTTCTTTTCTCTTTCAAACAAACTATTATCCTTGTCTCCAATGCTAGTAATAATTGCACAGGAAAAGATTTAGTAAAACCTATCATTTTAGTTGCTGTTTAATTATGCAAGTTTACTATGTTATTGTTTAGTCGGTTTAAATGTTAGAATTTTCTTCTTTAAACTTTAATGTTGTCGTCACTACATCTGGAAAACCACGTAAGAACAAATTAAAAGTATTTTAAAAGAGACCAGGTTGTTTGAAAATCCTAAACGAATGCTAAAAATCGTCAAAACATTCTGGTGTCTGAGCCAGAGTGTCATCGAATTGCGATGTAATGTAAACAGAAATTATAGCAAGTTGATGTCAGTCAGCTTAGATGGTCCAAGCCAAAATTATATCGCATTTGAAGTTTCAAACTGAGTTAAAAATAGTGGAAGAAAAGCCGTAATTATACTTATTGTTACAATCCATTTAATAAAATGCAACATTTTCTTGTTTTAATGAAAAAATCAGTTATTTTCATGAGAACGATTTGTTATTCCATCTCAATTTTTTTAATCTCCAATCGCAATAACGTAAAGTATTATTACCCGCGAACCAATGAGTCAAATTTAAGAAACAACCCACTGTTAGAAAGCTGAATGGCTACGCTTTGAAATGAATGTAAACTTTAACGTTTTCGTCTATTATTTGTTTAGCAATTTACATTTCAGTCGAGGATTGCGCTTTTTTTGATACACCCTGTACATTTGCGATATAAGTTGTTGATTTTGTAGAGAATGCTGGGCAGGTTATACCTTCGAGAAAGACTATATTGTTGGTTGCTGATGTTTCAACAGTGTTAGCAAGTAGGATGAAACATCAACAACAGACAATACTTTATTCACTAGCCTGACTTCTCAGAAACAGTTCAAGGGAGGAGATTTCAAAAAAGGGTCAGAAACAGTTTAAGTGTAAATAAGGGTGGATGGGAGTCATAAGACCACTTTTCGATATATATGAATGTGTAGTTTATAAATTTTAGAGAATTCAAAATTTTGGCTGTGCATCTATTAAATCAGAATAAAATCTAATTCAAACACATAAATCTAATTTGGCACCAGGGGCGAAACTTCTGTACTACGGCTGGGGGAGGTGAGATTGTTTTGCCCAAACGAAAGGTCGTGGCCACAAACATTTCAGTCACTAATTAATATTTCTTTTCCCAAAATTGTTGGTGGGGGGTGGTGTAAAAAAAGTTCCGGACATAGCATTTTTCACTAACTTTTCAAATAGTTTACCGTAATTTGTAAAATTTGTCAGTAATATTTTCGTAAATTTATCAAAATTCCTACAACTATTATTTTTCAATCCGAGACACTCAAATATTTTATTCATATTTGAAATTGTATGCATATACCTGACGAGATAGAGACTGGGGGAGGGGGGCTGTCACAGCCCCCACATCATCCGTAGTTTCACCCCTGTTTGGCACCAAGGTATGACAAAACATCCGTAAGCAACAACACTCAGTTTTGAGATAACAACTGGAAGATGAACCTTGCACTTCCAAAACACAATACAAGGTATACTATAGATAGATAGATGATATACTAAACCAGTTCAAGGGAAGTTCAATGCAGTTCAAATCGAGGGCTTTCTTCATTTGTTTTTCCTGTCTTCAAAGACCTTGCAATCCCAGTAATGAAGGTTTTTCTTTCCATATATGCTCTTTTTGAGCGCTCGTGATTGTTTAGTTCCCATTGCCTTGACTCCAACCTTAAAACATCCCCAGTGCTATCACGTTTGTTCGACTTTTGCAGGACTATTTTTCTGCCACGTCATTGTTTCTTTCAACACCTTGGCCTGTGAACACTTTTACTGTGCTATATAACTGCAAAAATTTTGGAATGTGGTATGCCATCACATGCATATATGGCGTCACACGAGCTTTTCGATATCCGTTCATTTTGTCCCGGAGTGAAATAAATATATTGATCCATTCCCTGGCGTTGTCATGGTAATCAGAGATTATCTGTTTTGATGGCTCTTTGTATGTGACAATTCCACATACAACTGAAAACTTTCCCCAAATCTCAGTCACTCTCAGGCATGTTAATGCCTGGGTCTGCCCACGCTTGGATGATATCTTGCGCGTGAACTGTCAGTAATGCGTCTGTTAGAATATTCGCCCCTTGTGTGAGTATTTTAGTGAATTTGTTTGCTTCAAACGTATATAGTATATATGAGCGACAGGATTATTTTGGAATATACAATGCAAAGAAGTCAGTATACTATTCAGTTTTGATATAATAATTGGCTCTTTGTATAGCAATATGTATTGTATCATTTGCGACAGCTGACCTTTGAACTGCTGATAAATAAAAGCTTCTTATAGTGCGCTATCTTGCGACTATGCAGTATTAATTGTTGACTGTTTCTTATTTTCAATGAAAATTGCTTGTGAATTACAAATTAATAGCACATATAGTTCACTCGGTCTTTTCCACCATGGCATACTTCCCTTCAAGCATTAACTATGCTTCAAGATATCGGCTTGAATGCGCAATGAATGTTGTTATTGGAAATATAATATCCCTTACAATAAGCGGCAGACTGTTTCATTATGGCGCGTGAAATTCATCACGCGAAAAATGTGTTCGACTTGCAGCAGGGTAATTTGACGAAATTTTGCTCTTTTTGTTAGCTAAAAACATTAACAAGGGAACAAAGTTTCCTGCGTTAATTTGGAAACCGTACATTTATTTGTAGATAACATTTAACGACGCGATTAACATTAGTTTGATGCCGATCATCGTAATATAGCCGCATAAAATAATGAAACGAAGCCTAAATGTAAACTTTCCGAATTTATTCAATAAACAGTGATATTATGTGTGAATGATTATCGCAATTCTGCGTCCTGTCAGTCACGAAATATACTGCTGCAGAGCCTCTGAATAAAAAGTATCATTTTTTGTGTTGTTTTTCGAAATATACATCACGTGATGGTTGCCATGACAACGAAAAGTAGGTCAACTTTTAGAATCTCCTTTGATAAATCATATAAAACTTGAATGGTAATAATCAAGGCCATACTTATTTTTTTATGATTTTTTGTTTATTTTCGCTAAATACACAAACTGAGACCCAGGCATTAATGTACCTGAGCTGTAGCACAAGTTGCTGGTCTTATTATACCTTCAAATTTGTCTGGAAGCTTGTCCAACAATTTCTTCTTATCCGAACCCATAAGACTTGTAAAGTCATATGTTCCTGATCCCTTTCCATCAGCATTGGTCTTCTCCCATATGTCGAAAGAAATACCAACATGCTCTTATTGTTTCTGTCAGTTCAATTACATGAGTATTTTTTCGTTCACTTTTCTTCTTATTCCAGTTGTCACTCCTATCCCATTCTACAGCATCAGCCACCAAATTCCCAGTTAAAACATCCATTATTCTAAGTAATAAGTGCAATTCATCTGGTATGATATGGTCTAATTCTATATTGAGCAGTGGAGGATTCACACAACAGTAATTTCCTGATTTCTTTTCTGCTGATTCCCTCAAATCCTTTAAATCCCTCTTCATTTCCGGTGAGTTGAAGTACTGAATGTTATACAACATGTTCCATAGTTCATCTTTGTGCACTTTGCACTATAAGCATGCATGATTGGATGTCGCACCACTAAGACCCATCAACACGAGCAAAAAATTATAATCACCACCTAAGAAGAAATCCAAATTGATTTGCTTTCCATTCACTTTTATATTCTTTTCTTCCACTAGTTTGTCGATGTCAGCGAGTATGTCTCTAAAGCATGTTTTCAATGTTTCGTAGTCTTCTTTCCCATTAACAACCCCTATAGTATGGTTGCCTTTTGCTGCCATTGCATCATGGTCTGATTCTACTAATGCAAAGCTCATCAAAATGAAATTTGAGTTTCTCGTCATGCGAGCACCATCCCCGGAAATCTTTACTTTGACAGCCTCACCTTGACCTGCAGTTGGGTGGGTTGTAACATAGTCTTTTTCATTCAATCAATTTATTTACCACACAACATTACATTACAAGATTCCCTTATATATACTCATATACTATAATAATATTGGTCCCATTTTACAATCCATTATTTGTTGAGTTTTATATATATAGAAAAAAAAATATTGTTGTGCAGAAGGTTGAGCAGTGAGAAAGCTCGAGAGAACTTGAACAAGCACTGATCAACCAACGGAACTGGGAAGGAAATTTTTAAGAATCTATGTATTCAAATGATTGAGTGAAAAAAGAAATATGGGTATATAGAAATAAATCATAAACTATATTATACTCAATATTTATGAATATGGGACCTTAGTCTAGCCTGAAAAATAAATAACGTAGCAGCTTCGGTTATATATTTATCTAGTGAGTTCCAAAACAATGATCCACTGTGTTTAAGAGTTTGTTTTCTTGTTGTTGTTCTGACTTGGTTGATATGAACTCTGTTGGCATTCCGCGTCTCGTAAGAGTGAATGTCCTTGTTAAGGATGAAGTAATTCCTAAAATGTTGCGGGGAAATTGAGGACTTGTCAAAGCATCTATACATAAAAGAACCAGTCTGAAATTTATTAATGGCATAAACATCAAGTAACTTGAATTTTGAAAAAAGTGGTTCAGTAGGATCTCGATATCCAGCATTAGCAATAATACGCCCTACCCGTTTTTGCAATTTTATGATTTTATCAAGATTAGTAGGATATGTTTTAGCCCAAACTATATTACAGTATTGAATATACGGTAACACCAAGGAGCAATATAAAGTTCTTCTGGTGGGGCTAGTAATAAAATGCTTTGCTTTGTTTATGATGCCAATAGATTTTGCCATCTTTAGGGCAACGTGTGAAATATGTGGTTTCCAGTCTAAATGTTCGTTTATATAAGTTCCAAGAAATTTAGTGGTAGCTAACCTTTTAATTTTTATAGAGTCAATAAACCATACAAAAAAAAACCCATCTACTATTTGTCTTATCGAATGACATGTCCAAAAATCTCGATATTTTTTAAAAACCTTTTTCGTTGACAATTCGATTGACTTATTCTATCGGGGAAATGCCCTGTTGGCCAAACGTAATATGTACGTCGCAAAGTATCTGTCGGCCAAACGTCTGCAAATCTTTCAAGTGATATCTGCAAGAAACACTGCGCTTAAGGTGGCTCGCTACAGTTTATAGAAATGTTGAAAATGCCTAAACTAGATCACCTTTTTGAAGAGATGATGCTCTTTACAAATCGAAATTTGTATATTATATATACAGCGACAATCCAACAGTCGAAAATTGGTCAGAAAAGTGACGTCACCACTGTTGCTATGGCAACAATGACGATTCAAGATGGCCGATATTTTGGCTTTGAACGCATTTTA